ACATCATTTTATGGGTCTACCATAACCCTATGAAAAAGATAAGGATTTTTTTCTTGAAAAATATTCTTTTCCACAATTTTGCTTCATTTCCAGAATAAGTCTATGTTATAGTATCGATCTTACTATTAACCAGACAATTGTTCTTTTGTGATTGACTTGAAACGACACTTGTAAAATTTGTTATCTATTTTAATTTGTTGTACTCATGTTGGGTTTTAAGGGGTTAATGCATACGAACTACACGATTATTGTACAGGAAGAGATTGTCGCATAGCCTTTCCTACCAAATTCCAAGTCTCACCGCTAAGTATGGTTAATCCTGGTAACTTAACCAGCTTCATCTGAGATGCGGTAAGCAACTCGTATGGATGATAAGCAAGGATAAAGCTAACGGGAGAGGGAGACCCTGCAGAACAACAACCTCACCCTATAGAATAATAATAATAATAATAATTATTTATTGTGCCAACCCATGATACAACAAAACAAAAAAAAACAAATACAATTCATAATTAAACTAAAACTAGAACTAACACTAGCACTATCACTAGAACTAACACTAGACCTAGAACTAGAAACTTTCGGGTTTAACTTCCACCGTCAAACAAAAAAAAGAACAAACAAACAAAATAAAAATGCATACTATAAAATAAAGAAAAAAAAAACTGAGCAATAATGAAACTTATTTACATAGTACTAAATTTCATAATCATTAAAACAAAACTAACCAAGCACGAAAAACCTATAGTCGATAATACAACCTGTCTCGCAACACTAAAGATCTAAATTTCGCGATAGAGCCAGCACACCTCACAAAATCAGGGATCACGTTTCACACCCTAGCCACTTGATACGAAAACGGTTGTTTAAATTTGGTTGATTTGTGCCTAGGGATGGTAACACAAGATCCATGCCTCAAATTAAGGTGGTAAACATCAGTCCTGACCTTTATTTTATTAACCAAATAAGGAGGCTTCCCATGAAATAACACTGAATAGACCAGACACAGATAGTAAGTAGTGAATATCTGTCTCATATTCAGCCACCTACAGAGCAATAGCTTATCCGAAATATGTTATCTACGCCCGATATCATAAATAAAACGTAAACAAGAGTTATGAACTACCTGCACCCTACGAGCACTGTCATACGATAAACACGGACTAAACACAGCACTACAATAATTAAAATGGGAAAGAACTAGTGAATGACACAAAAGTCGCTTCAATTCACAAGAAAGAATATTCCTGTTACCATAAAGCGAAAATAGGCCAATAATTTAAAGACAGGTACATATAATGTAAGGACGATGCTACAGACTGTAAAGATGATGGAGATTGGAGATGAACCGGTAAAGTAAAGGATGGGTGTTGTGGCATTCCAGGAAATTTGGTGGAAAGGTCACGGACGAATAGATAAGACAAATTTTTCTATAGTGGAAGACCAGGTAAATGAGAGAATAAATCTCATTCGGTTAAAGGGAACCAAGCTTAAAACAAGGTAGAACGGAATCAGACTGTCAAATGGCTAAAGCCATGCCAATGAAGATAAAGAGTGCAGACTTCCAAAGAAAGGACATCTACAAGGCTACGTGGCAGATGCCAGTAACAAACAAGATCACGAATCAAGTTGATCATATTCTCATAACAAAGAGACAATAAATGTGCGAACATGCAGAGGGGCAAACTGTAATAGAGACATTTCTTAGTAAAAACAATGTAGCGGCAAATAATATCAACAACCATGATAGCGCGTAAAGGCAAGAAGAGAATAAAACACGCACTGAAAGATGAAAATACCTTACATGCGTATCAGCAAGATATCAGCAAAAATTGAAGAGTAATGGACATGAGTAAAGATATGAATGAAGAATGGAGTAACACTGAGAGGGTTCTACTAGAAATGGCCTGGAAGTTTTTGGAAACATAGCAGGTAACGAGAAACGAGTAGTATGACGGGGAATGTGAAAGATTTGAAGATGCAAAGAGGCACTAGGGAGACAGGCAAACAGAGAAGGGTATAAGGAAAAAGAAAAAAGAGCCAACAAGCACATAAGATGCATGAAAAGAGGGATGATGACCATAAACAACGAAGAGTGAAAGACTTCTACAGAATGATAGAAGAAAGATGAAGAAAGATAAATCAAATTTTCCTCTTTAGTGAAGTAATGGAAAAAAACTATGAGTATAATACTGACCTATACTGTATATTCATTATCTTTACAAAGGGCCTTTATTATTACTGCTGCCGGGCTGAGGGGAGCTAACTTTGTAACTTTAAGAGGGCCTTTGACAGTATACAAAGAACCAGACTTGACTTTAATCTAAGGAAAATGGGAATCTCCGAAACACTAACAAAGTTGGCAATTGTGATAACGGAGGGCTTCAGGGCCGTGGTGCTGGAGAAAATATACAATGAATTCGGGATTCGGACTGCTGTGTGATAGGGAGTTGATTCGTCGGTGCTGTTATTTAATCTTACCTTGCACTTTGCTATTGGCGGCCTTGAACACAAAGGCAAAATAAGAACAAAATCATTTCAAATATGTATGCGCATACGCAGTTAATGTAATAGCCAGAAGTTACGGGAGGCTTGTAGAGATATTTACTGACATTGAAAGAGCAGCCAAAGAGGACGGTACCTAGGGGAGCCAAACTGAAAATGTCTAAGACACTAGTTAGATCAGTTTTGACTTATGGAGCAGTGTCCTGGAATTTGATAGAAAGGGACAACGGTCTCGTGTCGTTGAGAGAAAAATTCTCCGTAAAATATTCCAACCAGTGACAGAGCATCCTCTTAATAGGAGGCGAAGACGCCATACAAATCAAATACATATCAAATCACAAAGACTCAGATGGGATTGACATATTATAAGAATGCCCAAAAAAAGACAGCGAGTGTAATCTTCAAGGCGAACATGATAGGTAGGAGAAGTAGGGACAGACCACATCCAAGATGGAAGAATAAGGTGGAGGAAAATTCTGAAGATGAAGAGTTAGAAGAGGGTCGATAAGCTGTACGTTAAAAGAAGAAGCAGAAGTACTCTATGTTGTTGCTGTGTGCAACATATATATTTATATTTTTTGAAAAAGTACAAAATTAACGTTGTAAAATAGCAATTATTTAGTGGTAAATCATTAAGCAAACTAACAACTAAAGACGTTTAACCTGAAATGTTTTAAAGTTGTTTTTAACATTATGATGTTTACACTGGCACGTGATACTTTTATTTTAATGGCACAGTCGAAGTGGTACACATGATGTTGGCGATAATTGTGTTTATTCTTTGCAAAGTTGCAACGACCAATTCAACCACCATTTCTTCGAGCTCAATGTTGATTTTGTCAATTTTAAACATCGTAAGCAAGCGGTGGTATCTCGATTTAAAGAAGGAAATTGTATTTGTAAGCAAAATCCTTGAGGTTGGTAAAAAAAATTCAACAAAGTATAATTTAAAATAAAATAAAATAAATTGGTGGAGTAGATAAAAACAACATTCAATTAAAAATTATTTCATCGAAATTATTATTTAACAGCACTTAGTGTTCGGCACTGTCACAAAAGTGCTGCTAATCACTTAAAAATGCATCTACATCAATAACTTGAAGTGATTACCTGATTATGAAAAATTGTACACCATTTTGTCATTAGGTTAATGACATGGAATATAAATAACAATGACATATTGCACAAAATTTTTTTTTGTGATGAAGGTTTGTTTTATTTATCAAAGTATGTTAATTCCCAAAATTATATTACATCATTCTTTTTTTAATTTTATTTTCCATTCTTTATCATGGTTACTCAGTCCTAAAAACATCAGCATGTCAAAGAACCCACATCAATGATTAAATATTACACACATTTAAATTTTCAACCAAACTACTATACATTTTTCATTTGAAATTATCATATTCTATTTTAAGTTTAACTTCATTTTTATTCATTAGAAAATTCTTTGCGAATACTTATCTGAAATAAAACGTTTCTCAGAATTTGCTTTCTGCATTATGATTCCAACGTGAACAAAACATTTTACGTCACGACAACGCCTTAGCCTTTCAAACTACGTCGTCTAAAAGTCAATATTTATTGTGGGTATACGTAAAGATGATACAAACCAATACCACATACTTATTACGTTTAAATTTATAAAATTTCGTCGAAAAATTTAAGTGAATTTATTTAATTATTAAAACCTTGACATTTGCTGATGATAATGTAATCGTTTTTTCTTTAAAATCGTCGCCAATGATGTGTTAACTTTTTTTAAAGCTCAATAAATCTAAAGTATCTGTATCTATTATATGTATATTTTTTACCAAGAAGTGACATATGTTACCCACACGAGTGTGACCGATGCGATAAACATAGAAAAATAATCTATGATAAACTGTTATTCAAGGTGAAAGCAAACTAACATATTATACAAAATAACCAGTTGATCTTGTTGACTACTTTCGTTTTCATCAGATTAATAAAACGGATGTGGTTGTGGATTTTATGGTAACCATAAAAAGAATGAAAAGAAATCTACTTAATTCAAACTCTTTTATGATTTTTATTATGGCGATGATAAAATAACGCGAACGAATACACCTGTGAATCCGTAATCGAGTTAAGGTCGATTGTAAAATAGAATAAAAAGATTTCTAAAAATAACTGGTTTAAAGCAGCGTTTCACACTTCATGCTTCGTTGATTTCCATGAAATAAACAGCTACTTTTTTGGTAGAAATTAATTTAGAGTGATAGAAATTCTGATTCTCAAAAGGTTTATTAATAATTCATTTTATTCAAACCACTCATTAACCACTCAAAATAATTAAATCATAATTTGTTCCTTTCATTGTTACAATTAATTTTACAAAAAAAAAATAAATAGAAACAGGTATGATTAATTATTCGTCTGTGACTAAAGCTTGTTTCTGAGTCATTACAATGTCAACGGCATTTAAAATTTTTTAGATAACAAAGCTGACAAAAACGTGGATAACTCACCATCGTCGTCGACTAATATTTGGCTTACTGAAGAACTTGACCCCTTCAACGACAATGCCAAAGCAACTGCGGTTATTATTAGTAAGATCACAGCGAAAATTGCTCCTCCTACTAATAACCATTGGTTGTTTGATAACTTTTTTTCACCAGAACCTAAAAAAATTAAATTTAAAATTAAAACTTTTTTAAAATGATTAAAAATGTGGTCGAATATATTTATCAAAAAAGTGTTTCTAAGAAAAGATGACTAATTAAGATAAAATAAAATGTTTTAATTTCAATATAAATTAATTACTTATCAAGAATGTTTTTTTGATCTTTTTGAATGTAAATTTACAGTTTTGTGCCGATTCATAAACTCATTTGAATACCGAGAATATTACATTAATAACAAGAGTTTTCTGAGTATTCGTTCAGTTATTTTTATGTTGGAGTTATTATTGGAGTATTTGTCGATAAATTGTGAAACTACCGTAAGTTTTAAAAGTAGATTTTATTTATTTAAGGTATTTCTATTTATTTATTTTTGATATATCGGTTATGATTCAAATTTATTGCATAAGAATATCAAAACGCATTAAGTTCCTAATTACAAGTGAATAAAAAAATACTTTGTTTATAAATTGAGGATAATTGACCTATTAAGATTAATTATTCATGTTAGGCAATGTAAATTAAAAATTAACATACGCTAAAGTATTCTAAGAATTTATCATTTATTTACCTTAATATTTATCATTTGAATAACTTTTAAATATTTTAAAGATTATACCGGAGAGTTTTCAATTAGAAAGTGTACACTTGTTATTCGTTTAAAAGTCGCGTTTCATAATAGACGACTAAATAGTTATGCAAACTGGTTGTTGTTTTCGTTCCAATCATCGATTTATTCTATTCTACTTTACAGGCTGTAAGTTGTCTTTATTGTGCAAAAACATTCACTTTATCTCCTAATCGTTTTCTGGAATTTAATTTTTATTTATCTGGAAGCGTTTTGGGTACCTTTTGGGCTTCTTTTAGAGCTTAAATCTTTATAGAAATGTTGGATATCAGGCAAAACAAGAATTCTGTATAGAACTAAAAATCGCTACCAGAACAAGAACAGGAAGACAAGGACGTTGTAGGTACATGATCAATGTCCATATCAAGAACAAATGCTGTGTCGTAAGTGAGCCCTTGGTTTCAGAAATAACGTCAAGAAAGGCTAGATATCTGAGAATACGTTGGATCTAACTAGTCGTCGAAAGGAAATGAAATCAGGAATAAATATTAACAAAATAAGGAAGCAAATAGCCCAAGCACACGCAGAGAATACAACAGCCCATCTAGTAAAGAAAAGCGTAAGAAGTTTATAGGCGAACAAGCACATAGAGCAGAGCTTGCGACAGCAAGAGCTGATGTCAAGAAACTATATAGCTTTATGAAAATGCTGTCTAGGGAAGGATTTAATAAGAGTGGACCTATAAGAGGTAAAGGTGGACAACTGTTGACAACACCAGAAGACCAGCTCAAGAGATAGAAAAAGATTTCTCTGAGGTTGGAGCACATAAAGGCATAAACTCGTAATGAAATTAAAACAGCCCTCAAGTAGATCAGTAATAGAAAGGTACGAGGTGTAGATCAAATTTCACTTGTAGTACTAAAGCAAGACATTGAGGCTACTATTGGATTATTGCACCCGTTACTTGAACATACATGATCGGGATAAAGATTGTCTAGAAACTGGAAACATGGATTAAATTAATAGTAAAACTACCAAAGAAAGGGTACACCACGAATTGTAACAATTGTCGAGGCATCACTTTTCTGTCAGTGCCAAGTAAAGTACTCTCGAGGATAGTTCTGAATCAGATTATGAAAGTCAAGTATACTCTACTTGACTTTCATCGACTTTGAGAAGGCCTTTGACTTGTTAAATAGAAGAAACACTCTAGAAGAATATGTTGTCCTTCTGAAGATCATCATAATTATTAGGGAGATATATGAGTGGTATGAATGTCAGGTGATGCATAATGGAAAAATTAACGATCCTATCCAAGCAAATTTTGAGGTGAGAGAAGGGTGTATTTTGTCACCCATGCTGTTCCTCCTGGTATTGTATAGAGTGATGAGAATACAGAAGAAAGGAAAAAGACTTGATGACGTTGAGTTTGCAGTTTACATTTACTTACATAGAGATTTTGTGACATGGTAAAGCTGAGAAAAGTGCAAGATCGTTGAAGCTAAATTAACAGTGAATGGAACGAGTTGAAACATTCGTGAACATTGGTAGCATTGTTAGGAAAGATGGAGGGGTAAAGGAAGATGTGAAGAAACAAATACAAAGAGCAAATGACGCTTTCGTGCAATTATACCCTATCTAGCAAAATAAGAACATTTGAAAAAGAACAAAACTTTGCTTGTTTAACAACAACATAATGTCAGTTCTCCTGTATGGGAGTGAAACATGGAAGGTCACCAATGGGATGTCGAACAAGTTACAAGTGTTCATTAATTAGAGAGAACAATCCAAAGACCCATTAGTGACCAAATTAAGGAGTGGAAATGGTGTTTGATTGGCCACATGCCAAGGAAGCCTGATGGAGCAGTTGAAATGTCAGTAGTTTCTTCTGAAACTAGCTATATTGGAATCTAACATAATTTACACTTTTATTTTAAAATTTTGAAGAAGTTAAATATAAAAGTTAAATTCAATAAGAAAGGATATTTTTTTCTGCCTTCTATTTGGTATAAATATGTTGAGAATACAGAGGTTAAGTTTTCGACTGGTAAATGTTTTCCTGGCTTTTTACCGTCTTCTATCTGGCATAGAATTTTAACGAAATGACAAAGAAATCAAGAAATAAACAAAAATAGCTTTTAATTTCTTCTGCCTTTTTTTTGGAGTTTTTTTTGGGACAATTATTGTGTATAAGTCATGAAATGACAAAATAAGTTAATTAACGAAAGCTAAGAATGTTATTTCTTACGTTTTCTAAAAAACATAATGAACCTAATAAATAGGCAGAAAAAGTGTGGATTCTTTCTGGTACAAGTAACTCAGTAATATAAAAAAATCAAAAAAAAATCGAAAAAATAAGAAAATAATCTTGACTTCCTTTTACCTTAGTAGCTTATTACCGTTGTTCGTAAAATAATTACGAAAACCAGATAAAAGAAGCAGAATGCATATTTATCCATTCTGGACCTAGAGAAGGCATTTGATAAGGTGCCTAAAGTGTAGAAATAATAAAAGTTATCCAGAGCATAGAAACAGCGTGAACCGTGTGATAAAACGAAATGCACAATCGGAAAACTTCATAACCAGAAAACGCTTGAGACAAGGAGTTATGAGTCCGTTCCTTACAAAATAACAAGCAATGGTTTAGGGTTGGGTTACAGAAATTTAAGAAGTATACAGGCTAATATTGATTTAATGGAAGCGAGTCATGGAGACTTACAAAGAGAGACAAAAGCAAGATCCATGCAAAGGATATGAAATTTTTAAGAAGAACGGCAAGTAAGAAAAAAGATTTGTTCATATGTATTGAAATAGTAAAAACCTCGTACTCCGAACGGAATTAGATTATATATAGTGTAAGCGTATTAATACTTTGCCTTTCGGCTGTCTTCATTCAAGATTCATGGCTGCAATTTCTTTATTAAACCTAAAGGGTGAAAGAAGAATACCAAAATAGTAATCAAAAGAAAAAGTTAATACATAATTCCTGGGTTAAAGGCACCTGAATATTTGGATTTCATATATGTATCTGAATTAACACTAAAATTTAAATAGATGGCAGAAGAAGCCTTCCTTATGCGTTCTATCTAGAATATTTAAAGAAATGAACGAAGAAATGGAATCACAAAGAAACAAAGAAGATAGCAAAAAGCTATATTTATATTGTCGTATTTTGCGAGTTTTTTGTAAATTCACGCAAAATTGTTTGTGCTTTGATTTGGAAGTTAAATACTTATTAAAATATCAACAATGAGGTTACTTTACCTCATTGTTGATATTTTGACAATGAGGTAAAATAAGTCAAATGAAAGTCAGAACGATGTTTGGCCTCCCTTTCAATGTTTTTTGCCTTTTGTAAGCTTTATGGTTGTCATTTTTGATTAAGCCTAAAAGATGAAACCCAAAATATAATAGTAATTAAAAGAAATGTTCAATACCTCATTCCTGGACTTAAGCCACCTACTTAAATTTTTAGAATATTTGGATTAATATCTTAAAGAAACCAATAAATCTCAAAGACGAGCGAGAGGATCCAATAAGACGACAGAAGAACACGAAATGGTGTTTGGCTTCCTATTACATTATTTCCGCCTTCTTTTCATTTTTGTTCCACTTTCTATCTAGCATAAACATTTAAAGAAATCAATAAGAAACTGAAGAGAAATCACAAAGAAACCAACAAGAAATCAAAACAACATTATTCCTTTTGTCATTTTCTGTATTTTCTTTGTAAATTTGCTGTTCATCCAAAAGCCCTTAAACTTTTTTATGCTTTGTTTTAGAACTACAATACTTATTAAAATGTCAACAAGGATTTAAAATACGTTAAAGAAAATCAGAATTGTATTTACGTTTCTTTATTGTATTTCTAACATCAATTTTTAAAGATGCTAAAACGCAATTAGAAGAAATCTGAGTAAGTACTATAAAGATATGCACCCGTTTGGCTTCATGTTGTGTTCTTTCTGCCTTTTTCTGGTATAAGTATCTAAGAAAAAATTTCTTCAGAAACATTTTTGAATTGAGAAGAAATTTCAACGTTATCTTTTGATTTAATGCAGATTTAAACCTTTAAGTTTCTAAATTTATGTCAAACATTACTTTATTGGGTGAATAAGCAAACTGTATAGAATACCACAAAATTTTATTGATAAAGTTACCATCTAATCCGGTATTATTTAGTTTATTTGATTTGATTGTACATGTACGTGAATAAGAAATGTAAATAAGTAAAGAAAACCGGTTGAAAATAACATGAATTTTAATAAGTTGCGCTATTAGTCGCCTCCTGCGTCATGTGAGTTTCTAGTGATTTTTTTAAAAAATAATTTTCTCAAGGCTGGTGAGTATTTGAAACCGTTCAAGAGGAACAACTCTGTTTTAATTCTTGGTATATCTCAGGTAATAAAGGAATTTTTTTCTTTATGGTTTT